TTTATCAGACTTCAGTGGGTCTTCTACATGTACTTGACTGTAAAAGGGTGGTTGAGAGGCCCCTCAGGACACCCTGATTGATATACCATGAAGTCACAGTAATTAATGGTGAAGTTTCCCCTGGGACCAAGGAGGGTTGAAGCTAGGTCAGAAGCAGCAATTAGGAAGCAGCACAGGATCTGTAAGAGCACTCAAACCCCCCTGTAGACCCATCAATCAGACACAGATAAAAGGGGTAAGCGTGAGGATCATGTTTAACCAAAAGGACATTGTCAGACGGTCCATAAACAGCTTCCTCTGTCTTCAGCCGAGTGGAAAAGCAGAGCAGAGACCATCATTCGTAGCACTACAGGGAGTGTTTTGCTTGTACATGGGTGACATGCTTTATGTCCTCAAAAGAGGCAAAATACAGTTTCCAATCATGCAACTTTGTAAATGATTTTTTAAAATTAATTTTCATTTGATGGAAAAAGCCCGTCTGCCAGCATCAGTGACATCTAAGAAATCACTTCACATGACGCTTGCTTCTAGTAGCAGCAATCCAACAAGCAAAAGATCAGGAAAGGTAAGTTAAATGAGTTAAAGTGCTTTGCAAGCATTCATTCACTAAAAGACCGCATGACTGCACAAAATACAGAAGTAGAAAGAGGCTGTGGAATAACTCAGATAGATAGGCTTTCACTTTGTGGTCATGTCGGCTACATTTATGTTCACTTGTTTCTGTGATAAGACCGGTAATCTTCCAGGCAGTCTTCCTGCCCTCAGCCTGACTCAACAACTGTTCCCTCTGAGGGCTACAGGTGTGAGCCGAGACGAGGAAAGTTTTATCAGAGTAGGGCAGAGAAAGGTCAGGTAGGTTCAATCAATAACCAAACAGCTCAAAGTTTTGGAAAAAAAAAAGGTCTTCAAACTGTCATAGGCTCTCATGTTATTATGTTGAGTCATACAAATAATGAGCTCTACCTGTTGAATGTCTCTGTGGGAATTTTGGGAAAAACTGACAACATCTTATGCGTGATTTAGATAAACAAAGAGAACCTTTGAACTATTTACAGTGATTAGCTAACCTGTGGTTAAGCCTATTTAAGCCGCAGTGGTTATGTTTAAAACTCCACATGTGAGTTCAGAGATGTGGAAAGAGACAAACCTGTTTCTTTATAAACGTTTCTTTGTTGTGCAAGGTGTATGAACTGGGTCTCAGATGACGTGATCCTCTTGCTTCCATCTCCTGATGAGAGCTCAGCCACCTGTACAGCACACACACGCCACACCTCTGCAGCAAACAAGAAAGGAGGTGCATGAATCATTAATTGCTGGCAATTAATAATTAATCCCATCACACACTGAGGATGCAAATACTACCTACCACCTAATGGCTCTTTTAGTACTGGTAAGAAAGAATACCCACCAGTCATGTATGTTATTGCTCTGGAAAAGAAGGTTAATTTATCATGTAAATTAATGAAATTAAATGTTCTATTGGGATTATTTTCTTTATAGTGAACCTTTATCTATTAACATAAAGCTTGTTCTGAAGAAGAGAAATGATGTTAAGAGGTCCATTAAAAATGCACAATGTCCACATTTTTTTAATAACCTTGGTTAAACGGCTCTCTGAAAACTAACTTAGACTAACACACTGTGAAATGGAATGAGCAGCGCTAAGTACTAAAATCTCTTTCAAATTGATTTCTGGCTTTTTATGGTGCTTAGATGTCGATTATATCATGCAGGCAATACAAATTTAAACACAGACCAAGACCAGACGTAATCTCAGCAATGCCAGTAATAGTTGCTTGTGTTTATTTACACCAACCAACATCATGGCTGTCTCTTTTTAAATCATGACTGTCATATAATAGCGACATGGTGTTACGTCTCAAACGGATACTTAATATAGATAGAATCTGTCTTTATTTTCATTCATCGATTATGCAGTGTGACACAATTTGGTTTGCAGCTCTGCCGATGTTCAAGTTAAATGTATAAAAAAATATATAAATAGTAATAAAAAATCTAAAAGAATAACAATCATCATGCAATAGTACAATATAGTATACATATAAAAATTACAATGCACGAGATTCTGTCCGTCCACATTATGGTAAATGGCCTGTATTTGTATAGCGCTTTACTAGTCCCTAAGGACCCCAAAGTGCTTTACACAACATGTCATCCTCCCATTCACACACTGGTGATGGCAAGCTACATTGTAGCCACACTGACAGAGGCGAGGCTGCCGGTCACTGGCGCCACTGGGCCCTCTGACCACCACCAGTAGGCAACGGGTGAAGTGCCTTGCCCAAGGACACAACGACCAAGACTGTCCAAGCCGGGGCTCGACCCAGCAACCTTCTGATTACAAGGCAAACTCCCAACTCTTGAGCCACGATCGCCCCATTATTACAGCCCCGATGACAGAAAGTATTATTTTTAATATTTTTAAATATTTTTATTACTACTTCAAACTATATTTTGGAATTTTCTTTAAAAGTGTAACAGTTTTTTAGGGAAATTATTTTAATTAAACTATGTAATGGTCTGAGTTTCGCAATGGTGCTACTGACATTCATACCTAAGATATCGTATAAACGTTACTCAAAAATAGAGATATAAATTTAGGAGGCTAGTTTTTTTAGACATCCATTTGATGTAATGTGTTTATAGAGATAGTTATAAACTAAATGTAGTAATGCCAAACTGCTATTGCATACACCCACAGACCATTTTATTAGGTATACATATTTGGCTGCAATGTTATGCAGATACCTGATCTGTCAATCACATGGCAACAACTCGATGCATTTAGGCATGTAGATATGGTCGTGACAACCTGGTGAAGTTAAAGGGTAGAGCATCAGAATGGGGAAGAAATTTGATTAAAGTGACTTCCAATGTGGGATGGCTGTTGGTGCCAAACAGGACCTGGTGATCTACTAGGATTTTCCTACACAAAATTCTACTGGATTTAATTTTTTTTTAAATAACCACTTGTTTCAACCAAGGTATGCAGAAGAGCATCTCTGAATTCACAGAATATCAACTCATGAAATGGATAAGCAACAGCAAAGGACGACAACACAGGGAGGTCACTCCTGTCAGCTAAAAATAGGACCAGGTTTCTGATCTGATGAGTCTCAATTTTTCTGTGACATTTGGATGTCACAGAAAATCAGAAAGTCAGAATTTGGTGTAAACAAGCATGAAATGTATTCACCCTGCACTGTATCAACAGTTCAGGCTGCTGCTGGTGATGGTGTAATGGTGTTAAAGCAGCCTACCTAAATATTACAGCTAACCATGTCCCTCCCTTGTGACCACAGTATACATATCTTTCAGCATGACAACGAGCTGTGTCACAAAGCTCAAATCATCTCATCTTGAACATGACAGCGAGCTCCCTTCACTCCACACGTCTCCACAGTCACCAGGTTTCAATCCAATAAAGCACCTTTGGAATATAGTGGAATAGAAAATTTGCATCATGAATGCGCAGCCGAAAAATTCGCACCCAATCTGTAATAACATCACAAAGTTGCTAAACCAAAATCTTGGAGGAATGATTCCAGCACTTTGTTGAATCTGTGCCACTACAAACTGAGGCAGATCTGAAACCATGAGAGAGTTAACCCAGTACTAAAAAAGGTGTAAAAAGTCCAGTGAGTGTCACTTTAAAATAAGTTTACCATTCCCTTAATTAAACACAAACACACTGAATACTGCACATGAAACCCAAAAGATCAATTGCTTTTTTTCATAGAATTCTCGGAGTCATCGTGTAGTAAGCCATTTCAGTCTGGCGGCATTCTGCTCGTCCATCTGCACACACAGCGGAGTCTCTGGTGTTCCTGCTCAGCGTCACGATCGCTGAGGTGGCTGCTGGAATTGACAGTGATCCAGAATGTGGCTGCTATGATTATCAGTGGCAGCAACAATGAAAGCTGCTCAGCCCAAACCGCACAAGCACTGCTGACGGGCAGTAGCAACACAGTCACACCAAACAATGGTGTTCTCTGGCCCACCAGCCATGACAAAGTCAACAAGCCATTCCAGGAGACTTCTACTGAACATGCTCAGCAGATTTCTGTCTGGAATGTATTCTGGCTCAATAAGTTACTTGAGGTTTCCATTAGAAGCGGAGCCCTTGGATGAACACGGTGATCACAGTGTTGCTTCTTGAGGAAACCTGGAAATCAAACCTCAAGAGGTTCAAGATTAAATTATTGCTTGATCAGCACAAAAAGGAGACAAGAGAAAGTACAGAATATGATACCCAATGACTACCCATGCAAATTTGTCCCAGTCATCTATTTTTGTGCAATGCCACACAGAATCTGTGACCAAATGAGGAAGATGACACTTTCGTGCTTATTTTTCTCTTTCACATGTATAAATAAAAGTCAAAAAAGAAAGGTACATCAAGTCCATCTTTATTAGTTGACTTGCAGTTCATTCCTTTCATCTGCATCATAATAAGCTGATTCCTTTTTACAGCCAGAGATTTGCCTCCACAGTAGCCAAAAAGAAAACTTGTATTTCCCTGCTGAAGTTGTGGTCTGTGGCATGACCACGTCACATACTGTTAGTCTTCCAGAAAGCCGCATGGGCTCAAAACGCCTGGGGCCAAACTGGCGCCGTCAACTTCCTGGGCACAGGCAGTGGAGAGCACGCAGAGTGGTTCTATTTATAACCTCTTATTATCCAAATGAGCCTGAAAAGATAAGGCAGCAGCAGGAAAAGGGCACAGGTTGTCAGGTAGTCTTTCGGCAAAGTGGCTGCTGTGCTGAAGGGCGAAATTCATAATGCACTGTAAAGTCATTTTGTGAGAAAAAGATGGAGATTTGTTCTTAGAGGCAGTCTTATTACCATAGAATTGCTCCATAATGAACAGTCAGTGGCTGCTTAAACATTTTCAGCCCAAAAAGAGAAGAAAACTGCATTCATGAATTTTCTTTCTTTGCAAAACATGTTTATTTTCACATGTTCTTAACCATAAATATTTTTTTCTTTCACAACTGAAATATAAAATAATATAGATGGGAAAATAAAATCTTTCTAGGAGAAAGCCTTGAAGGTTAACGTCTCCCACTACCTCCAAGAAGTGCGCGGTCCCTTTAAGAGATACCAAAACAATCATATCCACTTCCTGTATGCTAGTACGTGAACGGCTTCCATAAGACTCTTTGTATTGTGAATTAAATACTAAATATTGAATAAACGTATTGTTGGGTTTATAAATACACGCCGTCCTACATGTGTTTTTTAAAAATCTGAAGACCTTCTGAATTTACGATAAGATGATGGCAGCGCGAAAAAGAAAGATGCTAGCGCTGGCGGCGGCAACATCTGAACAAACTGTGTCGTTAAATAAACACAACAAGGACACGGAGCTGAAGCCAAAGGACTCACAAACCGCGCTTAAGAAGCAGCCCAGTCAGTGTGAAAATGCTCAGAGTGCTGAGGCGGAGCGAAGCTGTTATTTTACCGGGAATGAGCAGCAGCACAGGCTAGGAGAGGACTTCTTCAAGCAGCCCTGCATCAGTTTGGCTAAAGCCTTCCTCGGCAAGGTAGGCTGATTCTCACCTGAATTTAACACCTTTGTATGTAAATGTGTGTGTGTGTGTGTGTTTTTAAAAGTCAGGAGGCACAAAATGTAGGGAAGAAAATTTATTTTAGTTTAAAATTGTTGTTTTTTTAACTTCACCTTTCAATTTATATTAGTAACTGCCTTCTGTACGTTTGAATGTGCCTGATAAACTTACTTTCAGTGATTGTATTTAAGTTGTTAAGCACTGATTCCCATTTTTAACGCTGTCTAACTGTTGCTTATTTGTTTATTTAAACACATATGCTTCTTCAAAAACAAAGTCTGCTAACTTCAGGGATATTAATCTGTCCATAAACCATTGTGTATTTATTTGACCTAGTTTACCTTCTGTGGTGCAAATGAAATTGACAACAGGCGTACTGGAAAGGCAAAAACAACAGTCTCCCAAGAAGGGAATGATTTATCAGGTTTTGCTCTTTCCTTATCCAACTGATTTTATTTCTAGTTTTGTCACTACTTGTAGTATGAGACAATACCTGCGACCATTCAGGCTGCAAAGGTAGTCCACCTCTTCCATGATGGCACTTCCATACAAGCCTTTGGAGGTTTATTGTGTCTACCAGCAAAGTCTCAAGAGTGTAAAGGTTATATTTCTTAGCAACCTGTCAGAAACACCCTCCATGAGGGTGGCACAACATACTTCAGTAGGCTTTCCATCACCCCAGAACTGTACAGTTGTGAGCAGAAGTTGCAGGTCCACCACTGAAACCCTGTTTTCCTCACAATTGAGAACAAGTTTGCATTGAGCCCATGTTACTGATATGAAATACTCTGGAGATACTGTGGGAAACATTATGCTGCCTGTAGCATCTTCCAGCATGGTTTGGCAGTAGGTAATAGCGATATCCTTGCAGGGTCCCAACGACCTTCACATGCGAGCACATCACGGTCTTGAAATCCTCAGACCAATTGTTCTTATGCTGGCGCAGTGCGCCCTAGTTATTATTTTATTCCCAACAAGTATAAATCAATAAAGATTTTGAGCTGGAATATTTCATTCATGAAAGTGTGATTGAGGTGTAGTTTTTTTGTTTTGTTTTTTTGTTAGCAGCAAAACTGGCATGCTGGCAAGCGTGGATTTTCTTTGATCGTTCATTGTACACCTCATGAAAATACGTCCGTACCCAGTTTTTGAAGCAAAAGGAATATTTGGCTTAACAGAATAAGGTCAGAGATACTTATTATTTTGCTTTCATAGGACTTTTGCCATGACATTAAAAATAGACATTTGTTGTGGTTTTGATTGTCAAAGTTGTGTTTTTTAGGTAGCATCCTTCAGCTAAATGACAAATCTATGTAACCCACCATCCTGTGGATATAGAGAAAGAATCTCCCTGCCCTTTGTTCCTGCAGGTGCTGGTCCACAGGTGTGCAGATGGTACGGAGTTGCGAGGAAGAATAGTGGAAACTGAAGCTTACCTTGGAGGGGAGGACAAGGCCTCACACTCGGCGGGAGGCAAACGCACCGAGAGAAACACAGCCATGTTTATGAAGCCTGGCACAATCTACGTGTATCCAATCTATGGCATCTACCTATGCATGAACGTGTCTAGTGAAGGTAAACGCTATACTCACCAAAGGTGCAATATGTTTTGTACATTATGTCACTAATTTTGTTTACATTCATATATTTATTATTGTTAACAATGGATGTGAAAAGGCCAGTTTTGATCATTCTTCATTATTACAACATTAAACATAAACAGCAGTTCATGGCTTCAATAGTCGCTGTTTAAAGGGTAAAAGGAAGGAGACAGAGTGGAGCCTTGCTGACTGATGCATATTGTGTGCTGTGTTGCTCAGGGGAGGGTGCTGCTGTGTTGCTGCGCTCACTCGAGCCCCTACAGGGTCAGGCCGTCATGAGGCAGCTGAGGGCAGCCAGACGCAAAGAGGGAGCCCGTCAGCTGAAGGACAAAGAGCTCTGCAACGGGCCTTCAAAGCTCTGCCAGGCTCTAAATATACCACGATGTTTTGACCGTCGAGACTTAGCCTCAGACCCAGATGTGTGGCTGGAGAATGATCCCGACACAAGTCCGGCAAAACCCCAAGATATCGTATCAGCACCACGCATCGGAATAGAGTCCCACGGGGAATGGGCCAAGAAGCCGTGGCGTTTTTATCTACGTGGGCACCCCTCTGTTAGCGTTGTGAATAAAGAGGCAGAGAGACAGACTCTGTCTGGAAATGTCATGAACGATTTAAGTCCCCATGCCGTGAAGCCTGATACAGGACAGCACAATGTCAAAAGGACTTAACAGGAAAATTCCTGAAACTCCTCGGCCATCTGATCTCTTTAAAGAGTTTAACACTGAAGAAGAATAAAAACCATACGAATGCATGATTGCTTTGTTGGGATGTGTCTCACACACATGAAATTAAACTGTATATTTGTAATTTTGTAGTTTGGAGGCAGTGGAGATTCTACAATAAATGTTGCTTGTTTTCCTCAACCATTTAGTAATAAGCTGCAGCTTAACAAACTGTGTTTATGGTAGTGATGCAATGCTGTACTGGAAAGTAGATTGGGAAAACACTGAAGAACTACAGACTCGGTTTGTTAGCATCTGTTTAAAAAAATGGGGAGGGGGGGTTCTGTAATTTGCCTTTACACACGCCTTTCGTTTGGTTTCATCTGTGATTTTTTTTAATAAACATTCACACTTGGGAAATTTCCACCTCAGTGATTTCACAGATGTTTGGCCTGATCTGTTTCCCTCAGAGCAGGAAAAGTCTGTCTGATGTTTAGACTCTTCCTTTTTTCTTTCCACATCAGGTATTCCTAAGGAGAGGTAGCTCAAGGTCTGGAATGATCATTACTCACTGTGCCCCTCTGAGGACAGCACAGATGATCTAACACATCTGGGGCACGGGAAGATGAAGTGAAGCCTCCACTAAACACTGTACACACTTCCAATATTCACAAAAAAAACCTTAAGGCATGTCTGATATATACAAAATAATTTATTACTGTAAACAAACATTTGGCTCATACAGAGAAAACATCTTGCAGTCAAGGCATTTTGTTTTAAAACGTCTTTGACCACTTAGCTGTGAGCCCAGCAGGCCATTAATTTCTCTTAAACTGACACATTTTCCAGTTGCTGAAACACTGTCTGCACAGCTAGTCCATCGGTGACTGAAAGATTGAAATAATGGGATCTTCATGGTTGGTAACCACAAGGACACTGCGGAACTTGTCAAACAGCGTCTTTAGCTGCGAGCGCCTCATGTTCTCATTGTACATAATCTCTTCCAGGTGGTGATGTCCTCGGAAATAGTGCAGTAGCCTGGAAGCAGTTAACAAGAGAAAGAGTTTCACTGACAGATCAACAGTGTCAATCATCCATGAGACAGGACTTTTGCACCTCTGATGGGAGCCTTCATTGCTGTGAAGGTGGCAGCACTGGAATGCTGAGAAGCTCTCCAGACACTTTTGATCTCCACCTAACTGCTGGTAAACTAACTCTTTAGCCTATGCTGCCCAATTAAATTTTACAATATTATGCAAGTAGATTTATTCAAACCACTGAACAAATACTTTTTTTATCTATTGAGAGACATAAACATTTCATTTCTAAGATATGAGGCAAAGGCAGGCAATCAGTTAGTTCATGTCATCCATGTACACCGCTCTCATGTTTGAACATAAAACAGAACAATGGCAACCTTAAGGACACTTAATAAAACAAGCACACTATGGTCCTGTTGTCAGTTAAAGGCAGATTTAATCACCTCGCAAACATCCGCAGATCCTCTGGATTTTGTGCAGCGGGGATGTTAAGAATAAACTGCCTCTCGTGCTCTGACAGGCTGGCGAGCAGTGTCTCAGTCATCCTCTTGTTGAGTGGGGAGTCTCCACCAGTTAGCAGCTCTGCACTGGAGTTTTCCATACTGGGACTGGTTAGGGTCATGTCATCACTGCTGGCTACACAAAACAAGAAGAATGTCAGATTTTATAGTACCGAGTTAGAGCCGTAAGAGCAGAAGAGTAGAGGCGGGAGGACATACTCGGTGAGCCAAAACTGAGCGCACTAGGGGTACTGAGACTGCGACCTCCTACTCGGGCAGCCAGCGGAGGGTCTTCATCCCTCAGCCCAGGCTCATCCTCACTGGGTGGTACCAACAAGCACACATAAGTGTGCAGCTGGATCAGGAGGCGGCGCTGCAGCATCCAAACCACCATCTGGATTAACTGGGCCTGGTTAACCAGCAGAGCAGCAAACTGCATTAGGATAAACTGAAATAAGGGAATCGGAAAATGCTCACGTAACCAGGTCAAATATGTTTTAAAATAGATCCACAAGAAAGAGTCTGATCCTGTTCTCATGAAAAATGGAGGATGCATACACTAGAGACGATGTCCCTTTGCCATTAATAATTCATCAGGACCTACACTGCCAGAACAAGACGAAGAATGATGGCCCACCTCAAGGATTATAAGTATTATAACTTATGTTTGTGTTCAGTTTTCATATATATATTTCTGTCTTCAGGACATAGATATACATCAGATTATTTCACTAAACATGCCTGAAATCATGCAAATTAAAAAAAAAAAAGAAACTGGGACATTTTCACAGGTTTAATAAAAGTATTTCTCTTTTGAAATGCTTCACACATGTATTCCACATCATGCAATAACCCCCACCTCCTGTGTGGGAGCTTCCAGGGGATTTCTAAACTCAGCCAGTGAGACAGGCAGTGAGAACTTGGCTAACATAGAGGGCAGATCATGACCAGGAAACTGCCGGGCAAACTGCTCAGCCAATGGTGAATATCTATTCAGGGAGAAGAGAACAACACAGAGCTTATTCCATCACAGAACATCTTTTAAATTTAATTCCAAACAGTGTTGCAAGTCAGATCAGGAAGCCTCTCTATATGAGGAAATGCCATGGATGAGTGCTTAGCATTAGTGTGCTTCATTTCCTCTTCCCAGCTGGCTTATATCACATCACATACTCACAGGCAGATGTTGGCATGCGGAGACAGCATGTAGACATTATTCTCACACAGTGGGTAGATGATAATTGCCTTGCCCCAATAAACCAAATGAGCAGCAATCTGAAAGATCTAAATGAGAAAATATTTGTCAATTAATCTCTAGGATGCCAAATAAAAGCAAAATAAGCAAATAAGAGCTACACATGGGGATTTTCTCAGATTTGCATTACATATATCTGCCACTAGATGACAGTAAGACCACCTGACTAAACAACTTCTGAAGGTTATACTTTTTTAAAAGTATATATGTATGTACAGTACACTTTTTCACATTTTAACTTTCCTCTATTCTATCAGTGATGCATACTGCACAATGATTTATAGATCTTTGTGTATTAAACACAACTAATGCATCTTTTAGACTTATAAAAACTAATTTCATCTGATAAATTCATGAGAATCACATCTGACATTTTAAACTGGAAATCTGATCCAGGTAGTGTGACTGTCCTGTACCTGAAGTAAGGCCAGGTCAGCATCCTGTGCCAGCTGCTGCAGGTTTTTCACTGCTGAGCAGGTTTTAATCAGGCGGATCAATGCAGGGGAGCAGTCCAGGGGAAGCTGGCTGAGGAGTGTTTTCTCATTTTCCAGAAGCAACAGGGCATGATAGGGTCTGCAGGATCAGACACACAATACGGCTTCTAAATGAACATACATCCACATACAAGCAGACTCTGTTTGAAATAAACACACATTTAGTTTATTTTACATACAAAGACAAAGGTATACATATTAAACTGTTTGTTCTCTTTCTATTTACAAACAAGGGATGTTTCCATATTCTCTCCACCTGTCTAAACGAAACACCCAGCATGTATCATTAGACATACACGCACAATTAAGGGCATGCTGAGGTTTGTCACATGGAATGTAAATGGAGCTGGCACCAGAGGAAAGAGGTTAAAAATATTTAACCAGCTTAAAAAACTACAGGCAGATGTTGTTTTATTACAAGAAACTCACAAACCTGTCACAGGTTTAAACGAACTTAAAACACCTGAGTTTCCTAACGTGTTTGCAGCCGGTTATAATTCTAGACAACGGGGAGTAGCAATTTTAATACATAAAAATGTTAATTTTACAGTACTCGATACAGTTATAGATCCAGAGGGTAGATTTCTAATTATTAAACTATCAATATTGAACAAAAAACTATGTATTGTTAGTATATATGGTCCAAATGTTGATGAACCCTCATTCTTCCACGGTTTTTTTAGTGCACTCTCTGAACACCTTGATTGCACACTCATTCTTGGCGGTGACCTCAACCTTGGACTAAATGAAGAAATGGATAGGCTCAACACAACAGGAACTCAGCGCAATTGGCAGTCCACAAATATAATCAAACAGTATATGAACGACTTTGGTCTTTGCGATGCATGGCGCTCTCTTCACCCCACCAGTAAGGAATATACTTTTTTCTCGCATGTTCATCACTCTTACTCTCGTCTGGATTATTTTTTGGTCAGCAGCTCACTGCTGTGTGACATTTCAGACACTGAGATTCATCCTATAGCTGTCAGCGATCATGCTCCTGTATCTTTAACACTAATGCACAAGAATAATACTACGCCAAGTAAAAACTGGAGATTTAATATATCACTACTTAAAGATGAAGACTTTATTAAATACTTTAAAAAGGAATGGACTTCATATTTAGACTTTAATGACACTCCCGGAATATCTGCTTCTGTTCTATGGGAAGCAGGGAAAGCTGTGATGAGAGGTAAAATAATTTCTTTCTCATCACACAAAAAGAAAGAAGAAAACAAAAATATTCAGGAATTAGAAAAAAACATCAAATCACTAGAAGAAGCCTACGCGTGCAACCAAGATCAGGAAACATTGAACAAAATATGCAAAACAAAACTAGAATTAAATGAAACTATTAATAAAAAAACACAATTCCTTATACAAAGACTTCGCTTGCAGAATTTTGAACACAGTAACAAATCAGGTCGATTTCTAGCTAACCAGCTAAAAATAAATAAAGAAAAAACAACTATATGTGCTGCTAAAGATTTATCGGGGAACACAATATATGATCCTGGAAGAATAAACAACATTTTTAGGGATTTCTATGAAACTTTATACTCACCAGAAATAAACCCATCTAAAAATGAAATTGATCTGTTTCTTGACAACGTAACTCTTCCAAAATTACTAGACAGTCAAGCAATGGAACTGGATTCGCCACTGACGCCAAGTGAACTCCAGGAAGCCCTGATAAGTATGCCCAATAATAAGGCTCCAGGTCCAGACGGCTTCCCTGCAGAATTCTACAAAGAATTCTGGACAATTTTGGCACCAGTATTCCACAGCATGTTGCAGGAAA